CGCGACACTGAAATAGAGGTTAGTTTTGGTCATATAAAGTTATGCTAGATGTTGACGAACTATTGAGTGTGTCTTCCGGCTCGAAGTGCAACACAAGTTCCGCAAGCTTTGACGGAGCCATGTCTTTGAATGTGATGGCTGGAGATTGCGGGGTTATGGGGATTTGGTGAAGAAACGTCACAAGAAAGATGACGGAGCTTGATGGTATATATGACAGAGATGTGTTGATAAACAATGGTGAGTAGGAAGAACAACGATTGGGGAACAATGTGTTCGTGTTGGAGCCCGAGGCAACACAGTAACCTATGGTGATGTTAACGAAGATTTCATGGTGGTGTTGCCTAGCAATAGATCCAAAGAGAGTGAGTGCTGAAGATCCTCATCACTGCCGACAGCAGCGGAAGCTTCAGCGTACACAGATCTCGACCAGGCTGAGAGAAGAGAAGAGGATGTACGTACTTCTATCGTCCTCTGATAGGGATCTGATCATAAGGCAATGTTACGTCTGTGTTGGGACGTGTTGTTGTAATTCGGATCCGGAAAATCTACCTTCCGGTCAGCCTGGTCAGCTTTAGCAGGTACTGGCAGGAAAGACTGCTTAAGCTCCTGAATTATTCGACTCTGTCAGGGAAAGGGACGCGAGCTTTCGCAGGCGCATTCTTTGCATTGCTTGCTCTGCTCAAGCATGTGCAGCGAGCAAGTAGAGATTTATAATGTTTCGTTTTGAACCTCAGTTCAAAGCGGCAATTTGAACATTGTTCCGCATTGGTCTTGACCTCTTATGTAGTTACATTACTTAATCGATGAATCTGATTGATCGCGTTCTTGAGTATACCGCTTAGAAGTTTGATGACTAGTAATTAGCATAGAATTGGCTCTTCCACTGGTTCAAAATTTCATGAATAACTAGCGGAGTGCAAAGTCTCCAAGAAGCAGAGAGGGATAGAAGTTCAAAACAATCATGCGCATCAACGTTTACTTTCAACATGTGCAATCATGCATCACAAGCAAATTCCTTGTCAATACAGCGTTCCTCTTCCCTCCACTACAGCTGCTTCCAAGCCTCTCGTACCCTCGTCCAACGTGCCTCCCTTCATTGAGTCTCCTACTTGCAAAACTGTGCATTGTCCTTGCAACGAGCTCCATATCCCTTCCCTCTTACTCTCCAAACTGCGAGCCTGGTGTTCCTGCAACCTTTTCTCGGTAAATACTTAGAGACTGCCTCAACCGCAGACCACCGTGTCCAAAGATTGTATCTCGCCGTTTGACGCTCTGATATATCACCAGAATGATCCGCGGAGGGTTGCGTGGAGGGTTCGGTGGAGGGCAGTTCGTGGCTCTTGGCTATGTCATTATCAGAACTCGTCAAAATCAAGTGGAGAGCTATACCGCCCTCCAAAACGATTGGATTAACACCTACCGACCCCTGAGGCCCATCTCCACAAACTCTTCCATTGCTGTAGTTTTCCAGCGTTCGCTAGCCACGTTCTAACCTAGCGCATGTGCGATTCAAGCGAAAAGGGGGCAGGAAAACCATTCTGTGGCGTGCGCCGCCGCGCACAGAACATCATAACCGCCGACGCTGATTCAACCTCATCTCTTCCCACCTCCAGCGCAGGCTCCAGCAACGAGAGGACCCACCACACATGCAAGTATAGATAAGAGTATAAGGTATATGCGTCCAAGGTACCAAAACGACAGGGCTGGGGTCAGAATCGGCAAGGGGTACACGTGGCGGTTGATGTCGGCGGTGTAGGTGTGCGTTGACGATGGCAGGCAATAGGATTGCTGACAAGAAGATTGACGAGGAAAGACAAGAAGGGTTGAGAGGGCGTTATGCTTTGAACAGGACTGATAATTTTCTAGACGCTGATTAGCTGAAGAGAAATTAGGAACGAACGAAGAGAACCACGAAAGGTCCTCTGCAACCATTGGCGATCTCAAGCTGCTGTTGAGACATCCCAGCGTTCGAACACGACTTGTGTTCCGTATTCCGCTTAAGCGTGCCGACGTCAGCGATACGACGACATCGAGAAAAGAATGAGAATAGCGATGCTGTTGATGCGAAAGTAGCTGAGACTAATTCGTCGCAATGGCTGTTGCGCATAATTACTAAAACGATACTTGAGATATTAGCGGAATCGAAATGTCGAATGACATCCAAGGGACGAAAGTCAAGAGGACAGAATCGCAACGTGGTTGAGAAGAGACCTCCCCTCCAACGCCGACTGTACCTCATCCACCTCCAGCATGCTGTCGGCGGCAGCGATTAGGTCGAGCTTATCATCAAGAGCATGGGGGTAATGTTCAAGTACCCAAGTCTTTGGATTATGCCGAGAGAAACCCCATGAACTGAGAAACCAAAGTCAATGGTCTGGAAAAACAGCGTGGTAGTTGAAGACCTTGATGGTGTCAATCAACTAGTTAGAGCACCCTGAGCTCGATGTCGGTGGTATGAAGACCAGATGCGCGGTATAAGAACAATAAGTTGCTGGCCGCTGGCCGACGTCGTGGGAGAATTGTTATGCACAAAACCGCTTTGCTAGCACAAAAGTGTGCGCAATGGGTATTATTTCAAGCCAGGGAGAGCTGGTTCATTTGCAATGCCAGACTTTTTCCCGGCTTCTGTTTTCAAGTCATCCTCAGCTTGTGGTCCCAAATCCTCCATAGCGCATGCTACGGTAGTGGCCCATCGTTCTTATTGTCATGCGTCTCCATCACTCAATCGTTTGGTCGAGATTGGATGAGGTATAAAGAAGGTGTTTCAAGGAGACGGTCGAGTGACCAAGGATGTTCGATTGGCCTGGAAAAGGCGAATTCGCGGAGGAGTAATCGAGGTCGACGGGGAATAAAAATGAGGCGGCCCTACAGAGATGAAATTGGTCAAGTTGCTATGCAATTTCCTCCTGCCAGTCCTGCTCTTATCCGCGGAGGGTTGTTACCGCAGCACCCTGCGCTCGAGTCAGCTAGGGAGTTCAGTGAAGCTGATGAAGATGGTATCGATCGAATCTTTGTGGAGAAGACGACAGCGTGCAGGTTATGAGTTTTCTCGTGTGCCCACTGGATCTCGTAACGAAACGGAGGAGTCCCAGCCCCGCAAGGCCGCCGCTTTAGTCTCCGCTGTCAGTGTGCTCACTGACCCCGGTATGATGATCAATAGGGAGAACTGGTCTCCGTCGATGCCCGTGAGTTCATGGCGGAGGAGCGGGAGAGATGAGTGTGCTACGCGCGTCGCCGCATGCTGGGCCGACAAGGTGACGACATTGGCACGGGAGTCGCCCAGGCTGCTCAAGACCACTAGCCGCTGGTTACACATGGTCCAATCATTGTTCTGGCCATTATGAAGCCATGCGGTCAAGCTGTTATTATTCTGGAGGGCTCTGCGGGGCGGTATTTCGATCGCGGTGGAGGAAAACAGGAGAGGCCGACCGCGACTCCAAGGGAATCGTTGTAAAGACTGTAAGAGGGGGAGCGAATCGGAATTAGAGCTTTCGACTTCATGTATGAAGAAGAAGCATTCGAGGTGGATGGTGGGGGTGAGGTTATTGAGGAGTCTTCGTGGTTTGTTGTGAGCGGAGACGATGGCGACGACACCAGAAGCCCTTTGTGTGCCAAGGCTCACGATAAGTGCGGCGAGCCCCCATTGCCACGCCATGGCAATGCCGTTAGAGGTCTCACAGTTGGTCACAATAAGTCTCTTTGTTCTGGAGCTATACTGAAGAATTGGGAAGCATGTTCTTATTTGTCTCAGCAGTATTCAGGCTATGGGGCACGGCGTCAGAATTTATGGAACGGAGCAGCACAGCTCAGTCACTCGGACGCTGAAGGATTTCACAGAAATCATTCGAATCCAGTTGTAGAAACCCAAGGATCGCTCGTAATAAGTTACAGTTCCACTGCTAGGATTTCCGTCTCACGGGGGAGGAGAATGTTCACGTCACATCTTCACTACAAATGAACCGCTTGATTGGGGCCGCCCAGCTCCATGCTGATAGCTTTGCACCCTTTGAAGCAGCTCGAGATCTGCGTCTTTTGCTCTGGTCTTTAGTATATGACCTGGTCTTTGATTACTGATTTCCTCTGTAAGCTTGAAAGCTTTCGTCGATCAGGCATTGCAGTGTCTGTTCATGCAGGGTCTCAAGGTTTTGTTGCCTCCGCTCCCCTTGCTGAACATGTTTGTGCCTATGGAAATAACAACGAGACGATCAAAGCAGAGCCGGAAACAAAGACGCGAACGTACATTTGATTTTATGACAACTTGCTTGCTCCATTTAGGTTGCGCAGAGTACTGAGAGTCCGGAGATATGGACTTGAGTTAGCTGAGGGCGAGTGTGGAATTCATCTGCTTCAAATGAGAGAATGGAGGAGAGGCTGGTTGTGGTAATTCGCGAACCAGGAATTGGCATTTACAGTCAGCTTGATATGGAGACGCCTGGTTCTCTGAATCAAGATTTCACTCTTAGAAGTCGCTTTGCCAGCAGTGTATTTATATTGCCATTGTTCGAAAGATAGTTAGGGTTTCTTCTCTCACACTCTTGAGAAGTGGACCAAAGAAGTGTATCAAGAATCCCAATTGTGGATGGAAGGCAATCCCAGATACCCGCTCTGCCTTTCGCTTCAAAGAAAGCGGTTTCTATTTTTGGTACCGATAGGCCTCAGCTCCCGTTTTACAGTTGTATCCGTAGCTCTTCGATGTAGCTACACAAAGAGAACTCCGAAGTACTCGTCAATAACTGTAAGACGGATGGACCTCGAAGCTAGATAATCAATTTCTCAACCTATGATTACAATAATGTAGCGTCGTGGCTGCATCCGAAGCCACTGCTGTTTATGAAGACCTGTACTTATTGATGCCTGTCTCTCACGACATTGTACATCATGCCCTTTAGCAGACCCCGCCCAAAAGGGTCTTCTCGCCGTCCACATCCCCACAAAAAGCTCCCCTGCAGAATTTCAACGCCAGGCTGCAGACCCTACCACAAGAACAACCAAAGTAGCTAGCGTACTTGGTGTACCGGATAGCATTGCAGGTTCCCAACTTGCAGAACCAGGTTCGATTCCCGGAGTACGCATTAAATTCATTCTTTTTTGGCATTTTCCACTATTCAATATCTGTGCCTCATGTTCTTTTGAGCGGCAAGTGCTGGGATTGAGTTTTGGATCACTGAGAGTAACGGGAAGAGTGAGAACAGCCACTGCCTGAAAGCTTACTTGGTGTGGTGGCATATGACCTTGCTGTTGTAGTTGTGGTGGACGCCATTTGAAGATAGGTTGCTATTGGTCCCTTTGGGACATGTGGTAGAAGGAATAACGAGAGGTTATAGTGAATTAACCTGAAGAAAGGATATGCCTTTTTATGGAGCATTTGTTCCATCACAATTATATATTACCCTAACACTGTGCTGGACTCGATGGAGAAGTAATATTTCGGGTTGAGAAGAAGATTACAACTTTCATCTTCAGTTATGGCAATGTCAAATATTACGAACGCGGCTTGTTACTAATCGAAGCATATTTCTATTTATATCCAATGCCGGGGTTGTAGAAAGTCATTATTGTGCATAGAAAGAGATTCCGCAGGAGAGGAGAAAGACTAGTAACATTGTATCATGCAATTATAAAGCATGGCTAATGAGCTTGAATACGTAGAGCGATCCGAGCCTTCATTATCCAGTGCTCCACACCTGACTTCGAAACTGGAAACGCCTAGCCACCAGGATATGGCAAAGAAGACTTGAGACCCAGCTTGACATCTTTTACCACAATCGTTACCAATGCCACTTTTTACTTGGAGTGAGCGGCATACTTTGACTGTTCTTCGGCATGGGCTGTCTGTAGAGGGTGCAAAATCCGTTGTTCGATCTTCAGGTGTCAATAGCGATCGAGACAGGTTTTGAGATTAAGCTTACGGTGGATTAATGACAGCGGCCATGCTGTCTCGACAAGACTCCCTCCGAGCATTTGTTGTCCCAAGAAAGCAAAAGTCATAACAAGCTTGGGCTTTAAATTCTTCCGGACATTCTTTGACCCTCTATGTGCCATTAGTATCTGTACTTATTGAGCCGTAGATCTCTGGAACAAATGGAGAAGGCCTTGGTAGCGAAGACATAAAATACCAAAGATGTTGTCGTATAGCCCAACTGTGTCACCGCTCGTGCTCTCGATAATGAATATCGCACCCTGTTCGACTTAGGACCGATCGTCCATTGCGTCCAACAGGTCTTTGTTGAGCAGGCTCGCAATCACATCCGGGTCGGCGATCTCCTCGACAGGAGCCCAGACATCCCCTCCGGTTGGAATGCGCCAGACGGCGGCAAATTTGTACTCAACAACACGGGGACGCATGTGCCGGGCGACGGTGGTATTGTATGGCTCATAGACCCGTGGAGTGGGTAAGAATCGTCCAAAGCGTCTGCTCTTGAGTCAATATATCCTTTCCGATGTAGGGGGGTTGGAAGAGGCAACTAACAACGCAGAGAATTCCGCTGTAAAAGCTATTGTTGTCGGTAGCTGGGTGGCATGGTTTGTCATAGGTGCCTGATGGATTTATTAGCAACAGAGACGATGAAATTGCTTTGACTAGATCATCAGCGTTACTGACCTACAAGAAAGACACTACCAAATCATCACTTCCAACCCAACCACCCTTCACCTAATGCCAGAGGTGGTATAATACAAATACCACAGGACTGCCGAAAATAACCGCACCAAACCACATACAGGCTTTGATAAGGGCTGCCGTCTTTGCTCGAACAGAGCTTGTAATGGAGGGGTGGGCGCCCATCCATCGCGCCAAACCACATGCAAGCTTCAATCAGGGCTGCCGTCTTGAGGGGAGCGGGTGGACTTGCTCGAACAGAGCTTGTAATTCCCGCGTATTTCAGCGTACTCTTTCACGCCACGGTCGAACCTTTCTCGGTCCTGAACGCGTCCTTGATGCTGGATTTGCTCGAACAGAACTTGTAGTTGCCGCGCTTTTCAGCGTACTCTTCCACGGTGCGTTCGAAATTTCTCAATCCAGTATAGCAATCCCATGAATGAGAATATGCAACAGGCAACGAACAGGGCAAGGGCAAAGAAGTGACCTGGTTGCTTCATGGTCACATTCCTGTGCCAGCAACGAGCCAGCATAGCTCGGAAGCGTTTGATCCAGATTGGTGTTTGCTCGAACAGAGCTTGTAGTGGAGGTTTTAGGCCTGATGGAGGCCAATGGTGATGCTCGAACAGAGCTTGTATGATTTGAAGGAGGTGGCAGGGGAGGTGAAGCATCCTACAGAAAGCCAGAGCGAAAGTGAGCAGGGTGTAGACGATTGGGTAAGCAATTACGCGGCGGGAGAAAGTTTCACTTACCGCAGGGGCGCACATTGCGTGCGCCATATTCCTGATTTGTTTCTGTGACGCAGTCTGTGCCGTTGAGGTTAATTCGTCCGCCGCTATTCAAGGATTGGAGATCGAATGAATGATCCAGGTGCTAGCTGGAAGGGACAGGTCGAGCGTGCTCCCACATGATGTCTTGGTGATTAATCGGTGGCTCATGTCGATGCCTCGGGTGAGGGTTTTCAATTGCCCTTCACTTTAGGGGAGATTTAATTTTAGATTTCAGATAATTGGTTTTTGCGGCTGGAATGTTGATGATGAGGAATATCGGAAGAGGGAGTAGAACTGAAGCAACAAATACGAGCTAGCTAGGACGGCAATTTCAGGCTCGATCAAGCCCGGACTTTCCAAAAGTTTTTTAGGCAGCAGCACTGGCTTTCTCACTTCAGATCAAATTTAAAATTCTCACCAGCACTTCTTCACTTTGAGCGACATGCACATGGTACGATACTGAAGTGATCGTGTTCCTGTACTGGAGCTCAAGTGGCTACCGAAGAAGAAAAGCACCATGATCATGGATCTCAGGCAGTCTCAATGACGACCCATTGTATTTACACATTCGATCAAGAGTGCACTTCCCTCCTACTAGAGCTCATACAAAACCATAATTATCAGCCCCTCGTCTTTGTTCTGTCCTGTCAAACAAACAGGTCAACTGAATTGGCCTTAAGCAAGCCAGCTCTTATTTCGGCATGATGCATGAGTGTCAAGAACCGATGGTATAAGGTGGCATAGAAAGAAATGAATTGCTGCAACGGCGACAGTGATCTGGACCGTTTCAACCGCTATACTATCGACCGTGAAGGTATTATTTAAGAATTTACGGCTTTATCGCTCTAGCATATAGTCGAAGTATGTTCTTATACTTCGTCCTACTACTTTGTTCTACTGGAGACGAATATGCTTTCGCCTGTCGATTCCCAAGCAAAATGTCCACCGGCTTGATTCGATGTTTCATTCGTGGTACTTTTGTTGAATAAAGAATTAAGGGAGATTACACTCATTGACACATTTTCACCATGAAGTAATGAAACGAGGTCGTATAAATGTAGATCAGCTTATCAGCCATTAAGAGCACAATTTTCAAGGAATACAGATTTAATCAAAGCTAACCCGCCTATGCAATATGACTTGATACCTTTTGCTCTATGCGTGCATATCCCCAATTATACGATCTAACCTTTTGGAACTTCCTTTACACTCCTTCCATTCCGTGTGAACTTTGGCTGCAGGATAATATCACCAGCCAATCCGAACTGTGGTGGTGAACCAAAGACCAACAATAGTGCTTATTCTGGTGACGGAATCATGGGTGATAGCCGTTGAGACTTCGCTCATCGAAATCATATGTATTGGCGAACTGCACTGAGCTCATGCACGAGCCGCCCAAAGAAGCATCAAACAATCACTGATCACCCGTCGCGCACACGAGACAGGTAGCACTTCTCCTGCGACATGTTCTCCTCTCTCTTCACAGTACTAGTGCTTGCTTTTGTGCTTGTGCTCGTGCTTGTGCTAGGAAGGTTGGGCTTGCTGAGGCAACTCGTAGACTGTGAACGGAAGCGAAAAGAATCACGAAATTGACCAAGGTAGCTATTGAGAATACTCGGCCTTGGACGGTGCTGCTGAATCAGGCTGTTGATGCTTGTTAGTGTGTGGGTGTGTTCAGCAAACGGGATACTTACATAAGAGGCTCCAAGGGCAGAGCGAGGTCTCCCGCAAATTTCCAACAGCGCCGCCTAGCTGGCGGGAAGCAGCTTCTCAGGTCTTTATTATCATCCTTTCAGCTGCAAAATCATGTTGGATCGTTAGAGTATGGTTTGCCATGCTGTATTTTGCAAGTCTCTTCTGACGATTGGCCTTATCTCTAGTCCTTTGTCAAGAACTAAGAAGTCTAATTTGTAAGCGACATTACAAGAATCTCGAGCAGTTGTATTGTATAAGATTGTATAAGATTTCATAACATGAAAAATCGGGAGAAGCGTGTGGTTTTATTTTGATGTTCAACTACGTTATGAGATAAAAACCCATTTCGCCCACCTAAAATATGCGAAGCTATGAGAAGAGGTAGGCAAATTGCTATTATCATCCTCTCATCTCTATATTCGCTATCGCTATCATGGCTGTTAACAAAAGTGCAACTGTTATCAACTGTTATGCATATGCATCGTCCTTAACGAAGATGTGCCAACCAAATCCATCTCACCTTCATCTAGAGATATTTTCCAACGCAACTAAAGACTGTGAAAACCCAGATTTCTAAACTTTCGCGTGTGATTTGAGCAAGCCCTGAGCCGCGGAGCCAATTTGTTGATTGTCGCATTTCCGAACATCCAAACTCAGGCTAATTCTGCCTGGGCCTGAGAGATGAGTCTTGGAATGGAGTTATGGTTCCGGTCGAGCTAGGCTTACTGTGGTCGAAGATCTCGGTCTACTCTTATCGCGACTCAAGAGCAAAGTCGTAAGAGGCGGCTTGCTGGTTCGTTGAGCGGTCCATGCAGCGCGTAGAAGAGATGGCTGAGTTATCTTACTCCTTTGGCAAAACACTACGCAATAGCGTTAGGTACATATTGGGAATAGAGAAAGGATCGGAGGAGAAGAAGATCAGATAGTCGGATTATGGAAGGAGGAGTGGTTTTCACCTTAGTCGCCGCGACTCAAAAAGATACAACTAATTGATAATGTTGGTGAATGG